CTGCCAAGTGAAATGCGTTTTGATTTTTCTGCCAATAGTGCTCAAGTTAAAAATAAGCTTAACGAATTCTTCCTTTAAAACTCATTAATTCCACATCTTCTTTAAGCTTTATATTTTCTGTATAGTTAATTAGTTATTTAAGATAATATTTTGAAAATTATAATAACCTGAAAGCTACCAGCATTGGTTAATAAATAAATAAATAAAAGGTTGGGTCTGCAGGGTATAGCATCTTCGGCGTGTCGAAGATAGCCCTTCTTTCTCGTTTTCAATAGTTTTCAGGATTTATTTCCCAAAGCGCCGTATCAGTGCTCGCTTTCGACCCAAAAAGAAACATCAGTAAAAATATCAACTTCCCAGCTTTGACGGCTTATACGTTGATCGCCGTTCAGTCAGGACAAACCAGTTTATATATATATATTTATATATTATATGTACATATATATATTTATAGGTATTAGTGAGTGCTCAATTTCATGAAATGCCTTGAAATGAAACTTGCTTCGTAAAGTTGAAACAAGATAATTTAATAATCTAAGACTATATAAATTATCCAAGCCGTACAATAACCAATTATAAAAATAAAAAAAAAGTATCAGAACTGGTATTTTGCTTAGGCAATGATACCCTGGAACGTTTTGTAACAAAAAGGTATTTTTATACACAAAACATATTTATGGCCTGATTTTCATACACTTGTAAAAGAGTATTATAATATTGTAATGCGTACAAGGACCTCATAAAGTATATATATATATATTCTTCTAAAGTATAAAGTGTGGCTGTTCTATGAAAACTAGCTATGGTCTGTCTTTCGGTTGCAGGCAGTACATACATATGTCGGATTGGAATAGTTTACCATATTAAGTACTTGTAGGAACAACTTTATTATTTTTCAAGATATCTGGTCCAAGGTCGACATTGTACTTTACTTTACTATATCATATTTACGTTCGAAAATTATGTTCTTGTATGAAAAACGTTTTTGTTTTTTAACGTATCTTGACCAAGCCCGGTATTTACTTGCTCAAGTTCGAACTTCTTTACTTTATAGATCTGACTTAAGAAAAATTGAATTGCCTCTGCCACAGTGGAACTCGAAACTTCCTTCAATCGACCGAACTACTTGCCACCGCCTCATAACATACTTCACACCCATGCCACGTATTTAGTTTCAAAGAAAAACGAGAAAGAAGGGCTATCTTCGACACGCCGAAGATTTAATACCCTGCAGACCCAACCTTTTCATAATGCTAATAGTGCTTTGCCCATATCTTAGAAGCACAGGGAAAATAGTTAATGCCGAGTATGGCATGGTTAAGATATCTTGAAAAACAAAACAAATTTCCATACAGCAACTTACTTTTCGACCGATCGTTCCTATGGCAGCTATATGGTATAGTAGTCCGATGTTGATAGGATTACGTATATATATGAGGAGCGTAGTAAAACTAATAAATGCCGAGTTTGGTTAAGATATCTTAACAAACAAAAATGTTTTGTTTATTGATAGCTTTAAAATGAAATATACTTGATCTGTCTATACTGAAACTAGAAGTAATATGTCAAATTTGGTAAGGTTTGCTCAAACATACGATTTCGATATCATTTTTTAACGATTGCTTGGAAACGGGCCAAGTTATCGTCTATCGGAAATAAGCTCGTACTGCGCCGGAAATAGCTTAGCCCACGTTCAAAATTTCAAGTCTTAAGCTCTAATATGCTCTGATATGATACGCGTTCATACATAGTGACTGACGGACTGAAGCACAGACGGACAGATAGATAGATATAGATAGTTCGGATCGGCTATTGATGCCTGTTATATACAATTTAAATGGTTTAGGGTGCAAAATCAATTGGAAGTACTCTATTCGGGCGTGCCGGACTAGGAAATATTCTGAACCTTCTTCTACTAAATCCGAAAGCAGTTAAGGCTTCGCACTTGATTGCTCAAGCTTTAGCAAAGATATATTCGTGATCTGCATATAATTTACAAGAAGCTACGTGTCTAAGAGATAAGATGAAAAAACAGGATTTCGATATCGATTATTATCGATACTACTCGATTAGTAGGAGGACCTGTGAGATACTTCCTTCTGCCTCTTACATACATTTGCCAAAGACCATTATTACTATTTTATTTTCATTGGGTGCAGGCTCGTCACATTCCCAAAATATAAATAAAATCTAAATAGTTGGGCTGTATTTTATGATTTAAAGAATTCAAAGCGTGGCGCTATAATCCAAAGTATATTATTGACCATTTTTAATAGTTGAGCTTAGTGGATCTCTCATACTTGTTTTCAATGGTGGTTGAGTCGTTTGGTTTTTTTTTCCGGCCATATATCTAACTAAGTAATATTCATATTTAAATATTTTTTTCCATTTGAACTATATGATAGAAAATAAGTTTAATACTTGGATTGTAGGCAAGATTTGAAATTGATATTGTCGATGCATAAAAATTAAAGGCTCAATATTGGCAGTAAAAGCTAACATAAACAAGTAAGAGGTTCTAGTCGGTAGCTCCCGACTAGGGGATACCCTGAACCCCCTTCTTCCAACAGGCGATAGGTATAAAATGAAAGTATATATATATATCAATATACTATTCTAGAAGCTACATGTCAAGTTTGTTGATTTAAGCTCTTATTATTTACCAAAATTGCTCAAAAAACATGATTTCGATATCGATTTGTATCGATTACTTGGAAACGGGGCAAGTTATCGAATATCGGAAACAAACTCGATCTGCGCAAGCACTAGGAGGACCTACAGCTAAAATTTCAAGTCTCTAGCTCTTATAGGTTCTGATATCCTTGCGATCATACATACGGACAGACGGACGGACGGACGGACAGACGGACGGACATGGATCGACTCGGCTATTGATGCTGATCAAGAATATATATATTATACGGGGTCGGAGATGCTTCCTTCTGCCTGTTACATACATTTGCACAAATACATAATACCCTTTTTACCCATTTTCAATGGGTTCAGGGTATAAAAAAATACAAAAACACCGCGACGGTCGTCGTCCGGTTATGGGAGTTTTACTGTATATGATCCAGAGGCCCTATGCTAAAGACAGTTCTTATAGGTTGAGTGCGTCGTCAGGTTGATAAGTATTTATTATCTTATTTTTTCATTAAACTTAATATGTTTTTTTGGCGAATTTTCAACTTGGGGCTCTGTTAAATAAATTCTTAACAAATTTTCCATTTTCCCCAACTTATATCTTAAATTGAAGCTTTTGTAGATAGTTTAGCATTTTATCATTCGGCCAGTCACTAAAAATATACATATACTTATATATATATATATATATATATATATATGTATGTATGTATATGTGTGTTAGACATACTGAATACCATGGCTTGGACTTTAATCTGCGGCTTCAGATTTTTTGTGCTAAGAGAGAACCGCCAACCACCGAATTTCCATTGAGCACAACAAATGGAATTAGGTGAACTAGATCCATTTGTTTACCTGATCGAATAATGAGAGTATCTTTTTTCGGATGAGAAGTATCTAAATCTTAATCCATTTTAAAAACGATGGGCAGGCATTGTTTTGAAATTACTTAATCCATTCTGAATGCCGGCTCAGCCTCTGCAGCCGCCCTGCGTTCGGCTCTACTTTGCTACAATCTTGATGGTATACTGTGGTCTCGAGCCTGGCTCTCTTCCTTCTTCTCTTTGTATGTGTATGTAACAGACAATATCAACCCTCCATGCTTTATGAAATCCGTGCGTTTTTTGAAAAGATTTTCAACTGTTACTTTGCATCGTGTACTCATTCAATACGCGTCAAAAGGTTAATAAAATTGTGGAGAACAGGAAAGGAAAATCACACAAAAGTGAGTTTATCTAAATACTAACTGGGGCCTGAATTACGGGCTAATCAACATTAGCTGCGGCTTGAATTCGCTTCATTGATGTTGATTTTAGGATCGGTTAACTGGTATCGGTTAACCTGTATGGAATGGGGTTCGCCCCAATCGAAACGCGTTTCGGATGTGCTAAAAATTAGTTTTGGTCACGCAAGTTAAGACTTAACTGTTTTCGGCTCGAACTGTTCGAGTCATATCAATATTATGTTTAAAGTGCCCTGCTATGTTTTGAATATGTCTAAAAAGTTTTCGGACTTTTCGTTTTCATTCCAATTTTTATTGTATCCACATTTATACTACGCTACTACGCGAAAAGAAAACATTTTGTCCCGACAGATTAAATGGCTTAGATACTTGCAGTTATAATACGATTGCATATATACTTAGTACTCGAGCTTCATTCATGAAATGACTTTCATTGGATACGTGCCTTACACTTTAGAAAGGGCCATCCTGCTAGTTGGGTATACTCGACTACAAATTTCCCTGTAGCCCTGAGGCAATATAATATTTTGCCTTAAATTTTTCTTCGCTGCTTCTTCCCCCCTGAGCCACGCATTTAAAATACCATCTATGTTTGTTTTCCGATCTTTAATGGCATTTAAATGTCCAAAATACAAAATATCAAATCACATGAGAAAAAAAATATTTCTAATCCGAATAGTTATAGTATAGTTACATACAAATTTTGAGTTAAGCCTAATATAATTATTATAAATACATTTTTATCGAGAGTTTGTAAATGGCAAGAGATATCTATAAAAAAAAGTGTATGCACGTTTTGCGTATAGTATAGGAGAGTATATACTTTGAATTTATAGTCTTTCAAGTCTCTAGTTCTTATAGTTTGGGCATGCCTTCTTCTGCCGCACAAAAGGCCTATACCCCTTTAAACCCCTTTTAAAGATCTTTGAAATATTGATTTGAATCGAATTTAAAACATTAATTTTGTATCCAATCGACTCGAAACTCCTTTTGAAACACGTGTGAAAATGGCTTTTAAGACATTCTTCGTTATTTGCGGAACAACAGGTTCTCGGTGGAAATGGGGTTCAGTGTAGTATGGATTCTGTTTAGTATATATGTATATAACACTTACGCTTGGAATATTATCACTATTGCATACTTGCTCCGAAAGCAGCCGATCCCGAATTTCCCAAGCAAATATGCTCGGACATTCTCTTTTGTAATCGGCAATTTTTTGAACGACGGGCGTAGTAGCCACTCGTGGCTTTGAACCACCTATCGCTCGAGGTTTTATCGATCCAGTTTCATAATATCTAGAAGTAGAAATATATCATAAATGAGCAATAATAATATGCGTAGAAAAACGTGAGAGAACTAAATAATACTCTTTACTCAGTTCAGAATTGTCGTGGCAGGCACTCATTCGTGCTTAAATTATGGAAAACATTTTACTAATACATTCATAAATTCCTTCATGAATAACTCTGCGTTTTTATCTTAGTACCCTGAACAAATTTTTGGAATGGGAGTACTATAAACTTCATCTATATGTGGTATGGTATGGTAATATTATTGTCTTAGCTTTTGTAGACAGACAGACAGACTCATTTCGTAGTCCTTGTTAAGTATCCTGACATTTTCCTCGTTTTCGAATTGACATTATCATTGAAAACTCCTTCCAATATAATTGTTTATCTTTCCGTTTAGATTTCGAACCAATGTCTAGTCTTGCCTTAGTTTTTCACAGCGATAAGTTCCAAACTTTGTTCATTGCATACACTACACAGTCAAAGAATTTATATAGATGAATATTTATTTGGATGGACTGTGTGAAGATAGCGAAGATTTCAAGCTTGTAAAGAATGTCGACCTCTTCTATTTTAGACTAGTAAAAAATTGTATAAGTCGTACACTTGGATCTAATTTTACATATAAAAGCAATATGAACACAATATCATTAACAATAAGTATGTACCAAATATCTGAACAAAATTAAATCCGCATGTATCGTAGAGAGTCTTAAGTATTTAGTTTTGGCTTGACTTCTTTCTAACAACAGATAGAGCCACTGTGTTTGGGAATTTACGATAAAATATCTCAGGAGATATCAATATGTTATTAGAACTAGTATGATTTCTTCTTGGCCTTACACTCCAAATGGGCAATGCATTCTTTATTAACTGGGATGTTTATTGTCCGATCTGCATGCAATTTTCATTTATTGTTTTTAATGACCCAAGCATGACAATATAAATAAAGACAGTTCTTATATTATTTGTGGCCCAAGGCTATATCTCCAAAAATGTGTATACTCGCGAGAACATACATCCAAAATGAGGTGTCTGTTGCTCTTTAAAGCTGCTAAATATGATCACAAAAGCCCTATTGATAAAACGATTAATATTGATTTCGTAGAAACAGAGTTATCGATGATTAAACCAAAAACAAAAAAGCCAAGTTTATAATTTGTGTAGTATTGATATCAAGCGAATCTTCGTTTATACATTCAGCCGGACGGATAGACTATGTCTACGGACGTGGCTACATTGACTTTTTTTTATTATAAGTATTATGTGTTTTATTTTGCGCTGGAATCGATCACTGCCTTCTCATCTCTACCAAGCGAATAACTAAGCGAATGATGTATAGTTACTATTATGTAATTTATATGATATTAACAATGATGGGGAAGCAGATGTTTAAATAATACGCCTCGTAGGTAGGTCGTCGGAGTGTAGCCTTCGAAGGCGCCTCTCTCTGATGGGGTCAGCCAGGACCCTGGCGAAAACGCCACTGAAAAACAAATTTTCTTCTGATTTCTGATAAAAGAATTTAGTTAGGAGTAGCTCAGTGCTAAGCTTCCGCCTGGCAAAGGAAAGTTTCGAAGTTCTCTCTTTAATAAAAAAATATATTTATAAGCATATATATATATATATATATATATTTTAATATCTTGTCTACAAAGTGAAATTTGGTTTTGTGAGTCCCTCTACCTCTCCGAAGAAATAAAGTGGTAAGATTTTTTGGGCCGACGGAAAGACTTTGGACTGGTGGAGATAGCCAGATAACCTTTGATAACAATTATTTACAAAGTTCATTTAAAATATTTAATACATTAAACATTCTCGAGCATCTGTCTCTCTCTCTCTCTCTCTCTCTCTCTCTCTCTCTCTCTCTCTCTCTCGCTATTGGGACTTGTCTCACCTGCCCAAGATTTTGCTAACGCAGCCATTGGAAACTTGAAGTATTCGAGAAATATCACATGGACGTGCGCCCGAATGTGCCAGCTCGACAATCTTTTGGCGTGTGGAATCAGGCAGAGGTCTTCCGTTCACATAGACGCCTCCTAGCTGGTTAATTCCGCTGTGTCCCGCTGTCGAGCATCCGAATAGTGCACTTTGGCCCATCCCCACTCCGACGGATGAATGGGGATGTCCATGCATAATGTGTTCTGTTGTTAGCATCATTTTGTATAATTATCGTAATGATTATTATTATTTGTAAAGCGTATTGAGATTTTTGGGCAAATGCTCTCTCAGTTGCTCTCCGATTTCTTCGCGATTATAGCACATACATATGTATATGTAATTCTCATTGGATAAATCAAACCGAAAAAGCACTGAACAATTGACTATTTATGTATGTTATTTATTCACTGTCATAACCTCATGTATAAGCTAAGTATGTTGTTGTTTATTTCGTTGTTGGATTTTGTACTTGTACATATTGATGTATTTTCTTGTTCCACTTTAAATCTACTAGATTACACTACGTTACAATTGTGTTTCCGAGTTGGAGGCATCATCAGATTTCGGCGGGCTTGTTATGGAATTTTGTTTGTATGGTATGGTATTATCTTAGATTTGAAATTTGTATTTGTATTACTTTTGTTGATTTAATAACACATATATTAATTCAAATTTTTTTGTACTTATTGTCTCCAATTCGTATACGCTCTTATTTTTAAATGAACTTTAACTTCGATTTCGATTTCGATTGCGATTGTGATTGCGATTTCGTTTAGCATATTGTGGTATGTTGTGGTAGGCAACTCCTACGTTCAAGGAGTACAAGACATCGGTGCCGATCTGCCATAGGCAGCCAGCGACCAGCGACCCGGCGGCAACGGCGCCACGGATTGCGAGCCCGTCACTTCTCTAACAATTTGTTTGCTTCAAATAGCAAAATAATCAAACTGCGGCGGCGGTGTTGGTGTGTGCCCTGAACAAAGTTGTGTATGACTAACTGGTTAGCCAAGCGAAACGATAATGAGCTCTCAAGCGAAAGACCAAACCTGCCCAGACAGGGTAGCGGTAGCATATTAGAGGCAACAGCAAATGCCGAAGCGCGGCCATTTTGAGTAAGTGTCTGCGCAAGTGCGAGCGGGATGGTTGCCTGCTCACTGCTGCTGACGTCGCACGCAACGGCGATAGTGTCTCGAATGGGGCAAAAGAGGGATGGCACTAGTGCATGCATGCGCTGCTTGCTATAACAGGATGCAGAATCATCCCAGGTCTCGCAGCCATTTACAAAATAAAAACCGCGACCAACTTTTATAAGAGTGTTGGAAAACAGAAAACATACATGTGTATACACATGCATACACATACACATGCATGTACACACGCATACAGAATACACATACAAGTATAAGCAGCGAATGCAAATTCTGCACGGTGGAGGGTTCCTCTGGTACGGTTCCGTGTACGGTTATATTTGTATGCGCATAAGGGATTCATTATACGTATGTATGTTTATACATACAGTCTGTTTTGTATACCCTGTAAATGTATATGTATGTATATATGTGTATATCCACCGATATATGTATGTATATATAGCGGGCATTACCCGGCCTTGCCCGTGGCAAATTTTAGATATAACGTTTTGTGTTCTCTTATGGTGAGAATATTGATGTAGAAAATTAAACTTTCGTTCATTCACATTTCTTTACATCTCTACATTTTCATTCTCCATTTTCCATCCATCAAAAACGGACAATTTATCCGCATTTTCCACAGTTGCGGGTAGAATTCAAAATTGCTGAAACACATATTCATTGAATTGGTTTTAAAAATAAGTTGGTAGCGGATTCGGTGAAAGCATACAAGCAAACTTCGCCCAGTCAAGTTTTGATGCGCATAATCATCCAAGATGGGGGATTTTGTGAAAATTGAGAAATACGTATCAGATAAATTTTGACTGCGATTTTTGAAAAGGATTTAGAAGCTGTAGAATCTTTCATAAAACCCCTTTTCACTTATTAACCACAGTTCCAGGTGGAATTTTCAAAATCGCGAAAAGTACTTATTCATTTAGTTCTTATGTTGGACTTTGAAAATAAGTTTAAAGCCGATAAGCCGAAAATTAAAACTCCGCGTTTGACTCGCATTTTCCACCATCTCTGACCGATTGGATCTCAACCCGCAGCCCAAACCGTTCGAGCTCATTGTCCATTATCTAAGATTTTTGTTCAAATTCATTTGAAAAACCTATCCTCCTCGGTGGAAATGGGGGCCAAATATTTGGTGGGCGAAGTTTCGCCTTTGAATTCATTCCTAAAGATCTTCACGAAAAATCATTTGAGACGTGTTTCGCTCGGAATCCAAGCTCCTTGGTGGAAATGCGACCCAAAGATTATTTGACCGATGTTTAAAGTTTTGTCCCAATTAGCTCAAACTTATTTAACTTATCTTTGTAATATTTATTTGTTAACATGTATATAGTACGCTTTCTCCAATATTCAATGCTCTTGGATGGAAAATGAGGGTCAAAGCTTTAATAAACGCAATTTTATTTTTCGGCTTCAAGATTTTCACCACACGACTAAGATTTTTTTTTTTTATTTTATTTAAAATCTGTCTTGCGTTGACAATTATTAAATGTTTTGAAGGGTACTTGACTGGTTTGTGTGTGTTTCATTTGTAGTGATAGATTAAGTTATCTGGTCCATTGGAAGATTGAAGTGAAGGTGGAGCCTATGCAGGTATCTGCTGCTGCTGCTTGGATGGAAGCGTTGTACACGACTAACATGATGAACGTGAGGAAACCATTACAGTTCCAACTTATTGATCTTTATTCGATAGACTTTAAACATATTTTCAAATTGAAGCGGAGTTTTAGATGGTGCGGGTTAATTTAAATGTTTCACGGGTAGAAACTGGACAAAAAAGACAATCAAAATTTTAGGTACAGACCTTGTCACGGGCAAGACCGGGAAGTACATATTTATATATTATTATTTACATATTTTTGTGGCAAAAAATAATTTCTTTGAAGAAATTTCTTAAGAAATTATTTTATGTATAAATTACAAAGGTGCATCTGAAGCAATTGAACACTCTATCTATCTATGTCTAACAATAGCATAAATTAAAGAAGCAATGCTGATATTCCCTGATAAATAGGTAAATAAATGCATATTCTCGAAACTAGATGAAAAATATATAGCTGGAAATATTGGCTAGACGTTTAGATTTGAATGTACTTTGATATAATTTGACGGTCATTATTATTAAAATCATTTTGATTAGGGTTAAGTTTAATTGAAGTATATCTACCATATGCTTGCAATAACAATAAGTCTTCGGCACGTCGATGACAACTTTTGTTTAATTACATATACATTTATATATATTTAGTAGTAGGCAAACCAGAACATAGATTATGTTGACAATATATAAGTTCTGTATGAGGCTATAGTCAATTAAAAAACATTTTCGAATGGTTGATATTTTCAAGTAAAATAAAGCGGGCCAAATATTTAAACCATTTAATTTATATAGTTTGTGTAGAAAGATTATAAATAAAAATTAAGACTGAAACAAAAAAAATTATAAAACATTTTCGAATGGTTGATATTTTCAAGTAAAATAAAGACATCAGATGCAGAACACTTCAAACAATCAAGCGGGCCAAGATCTTAAAATTGTGCCTATCACAGTCGTTTCCACCCTCAAATGATGATTGCGCAAGCATGCACATAGCACATCGCACAACTCGCACAACCCGCAACCCGTAACATCCCCAACTCCGTGGCGCAAGTTGTGCCCATCTAAGTTTGTGAAGTACTCGCAATACCCCACTCTCTATGAGTAGAGTCTGCGGCTACTGCACGGGAGAGGAGGAGGTACGTCAATTTCAACATGCTGCCCGACACGTTTTTGGGATTTTTGAAGTCACACGCATCAACGGGCGCACACCCTCACCCTCACCCGGCCGACAAAAAAGCATTTCTTCAAAGCGAAATTCCTGGCAGGGCCCTCTTTAAATGTTGTCGAAATTTCATGGAGCATTGTGAAGGTGACGAATCAGATTTTTTCTGAAATGTGTGAAAAATGTTAATTTGTTTTATATTACATTCTTAAGGCAATTTTAGCGGGTGTAACCCCACAATAAATAAAAGCATAGACTTTACAGGCTCATCTTCATTCCGAAAGAGCCATACATTTACTATATACTTACAAATATTATAAACCCCGCCCCTAAAACAAAACAAAAAATAAAAGGTATAGATATTCGTCTTTTAAACTAAATATGAGTAAAGAAAATCATCGATATTTGTGATTTGCGGTCTTTGCAGTCTCGGAAATGGCCGGAGAAGTTTTTTCTTTTTGTTTAGTTTCTTAATAGAGCAACCTATTTGCCATATTGAGTGAGTGTAGTATAACGATTAATGTGTTATCTGAAAGGGTATGAAATGTAAGAGAGAGACAGAGGGACAGAGAGAGAGGGAGAGAGAGAGAGAGAGAGAGGTCTAACCGAGACTGCCAAACTTGGTAATAAAATATACTGAAATTCGCAACATATATTCGTAAATATTTATGCATATATTCAAGGAAGCTGCTCGCTCACTTTTCCTCTTGGGGGAAATATTGCTCGATTACTTTTAAATTTGATGGCTTAAAGTTCATATACCGGATATTCTTCTTAAAAACGAATTTTCATTTTTGTGTTCGAAAAGTCAAATATTCTTGAAGAGTATAACCAATTGGAGAATGTTAGTGGTAAAGGCTCTCGTTGATGATTTGAATCCAATCCAACTCGATCTGTGTATGCTAGTTATGCTGCAATTACAAGCTGTAAGCCATTATGGGCCTTAAGGTCGGTGGATGTGAATGCTGCCCGGGCATATATGTATAAATATATAAACGTTGCGAAGAAGGCCTGCCTTCTGCCTGTTACATAGATTTTATTCAATATATTAGTATTGGTATTAACCAACAAACTTACTTATTTTCAATAGGTACAGATACAAATTCCTCATACTAAAAAAATCGTTTTATTTAATATTGATTCATATCTTGGATTTATTGAAAATTATTCTATACTAAAGATTAATCAAAATTATTATATTATATTATTTTTATTTATTGAAGACATGTTCTAGTTTTCTTAAAATAAAATGGTTATCATGACAAAACAAAAAAAAAAAAAAATATTCTAGTTTATACATATTTAAAAATTTTAAAATATTCTAGTTTATACATATATCATACATAATTAAAAGCAAAAGGCGGCCAGCGGGCGTGCGCCGCGGCACGAGTAAGGGCATGGGCGTGTTTGAGGGCTGGCCTATTGATTGCTTCTGTCAACAAATTCTTGACGATCCAGAGGTGCGGACAGAGAGGATGATGTCTTAAACAACACCGCGCTCTTTTCTTTTCTTTTCATTGTGCTTCGCTCGGAAGGGAACAAACAAAAGGTAATATGCGTAACATTGGCCAAAATCAAACCAAAAACCATCCCGATCCGGATGCCAGTGCTGAGCATTTGGCTGCTTCGCCGACGAATCTGGCTGTTTTTTTTTTTTTTTAATTCGAAAAACTGCAGGTCTCCGTTTAATGTGTTTGGTTTTTATATAAACTTTATTTTTGATTTTTAAGAAACTCATGAGCCAACAAGTTGAGGTTTCCACTCACAGCTAGACACTTGATACAATGACACATACTTTTATACTCGGTCCGAAGTTGCTTATTTTGTATATAAAAATAATACGTAACGAAAAACAAGTTATCACCATAAGAAAATGAGCAGGTTGTCATATAGCCTCCAGGTTATTTTATCAACAAACTTTGTTACGCCTTGTCTCCTTTCCGAAGATTTAACTTGTTGAGAAAAAAGTAGTTGACGCATGCTTGCAAGATAAGTAGTTATGCTAGTTAGTAAATAGTTTGGTGATCAATAAATGCCTGCCTTTTAAAATGACTCTCTAGAATTCAGAATCCGCTAAA